TTGGTCCTCAGAACTGAAAATGAAAATCAGCCTTCTGTGGAGAGGTTGTGGCTCAGTGGTAGAGCGTCTGCCTTCCGTGCAAAAGGTCCTAGGTTCAACCCCCAGCATCTCTAGTTACAGCATCTCAGGAAATAGGTGGGGATAGAGTTTCCTCTTCCTGAGACCCAGGAGAGGTCAATGGAATGATGGTCTGGTGCGGTATAAGGCAGGTTTGTATGTCCACAGCCAGGAAATAAGTGTTTTTCCCCATGGAAATACATAGGTAAGTAAGGTGTCTTTCCCTTGGTTTAGGGCCTAGTAGTAGCTGTGGTGGCTCAAGTGGTTAAGACGCTGAACTGCAGACCGGAAGGTCGGTAGCTCGTCAGTTCGAGACCCGGGTGCCGCATGATGGAGTGAGTTCCCGTCTCTAGTTCCAGCTCCTTCCAGCCTAGCAGTTCGAAACCAAGAAATTGCAAGTAGATAAATAGGCACCGCTTTGGTGGGAAGGCAACAGCGTTCCATGCACCTTGGCGTCTAGTCATGCTGGCCCACATGGCCACGGAAACGTCTTTGGACAGCGCTGGCTCTTTGGCTTGGAAACGGAGACGAGCACCGCAACCCTAGAGTCGGATTCGACTGGCTTTCGAGCGAGGGAAACCTTTACCTTTACCTAATAGTCCTTGAGGCGTGTTTGGGTTTGACCATGTGGACTGTCCATCAGCTGTGTGGAAACTCATTTCCTGGGCACCCTGGAGGCCTGATTCTTATCAGGTCTGTGGCACGTGAGGGGAGGGGGCTTAAACCTGCCCCCCATGGCCTGTTTTCCTGACCTGAAATGACCTCCATCTACGGCCTCCCGGTAGTCAAACGTGAATGAACGCTGTGAACACAGTTTACAAGTCTTGTATCGATCCCTTTAGGTAGACTATTTTGAAATGGCACCAGAGTGTGTATTCTCCATGTATATCAAGTTATCAAAGTTTTCTCAGAACAACTCCAAAAGTATTTAATTCAGAGCCAAAAGTGCCAAGACAGAGTTACAGTGTAACACATGGAGTTCCCCAACTCTCAAAATGCAACAATCATGAGCTATAAATCAAGGTTACAATGTAACAGTAGTAGTCCCGAAGATCTCTATAACAAACCAGCAACTGGAAGTTATGCGACGACATGTGTCCTAGGCATATTAACATATTAACATAAAACATGTTTTATGAATGGCTGGAGAATGAAGTACAGAAGGGATAATCAGCTGAATTGTGTGTTGATGCAATATGTTTTCCTGACCAGAACAGGAAAAAAATTTGTATGAAGAATCCTATATGTTGTTTGTGTTTGTTGGGAAAATCACTAAAAAAAATCACTAAAAAAAAAACATGTCTCCGCCCTCTTCTCCAAAGCCCCATCTCCCTTCCGTTGTGGAGATCAAAATTCAAGTTGGAACCTGTGCTCTACAAAATCTAGAATCATAGAATCATAGAGTTGGGAGGGGCCCTACGGACCATCTAGCCCAACCCCCTGCCCAATGCAGGACCAGCCGAAAGTATCTCTGACAAATATTCGTCCAGCCCTCTTCTTGAAAGCCGCCAGTGAAGGGGAGCTAACCCCCTCCCTAGGCAGCTGAGTCCACCTCTGAACCACTCTGACCGTGAAAAAGTGTTTCCTAATATCCAGCTGATACCTTTCTGCATGTGACTTAAACCCGTTGCTTTGGGTCCTATCCCCTCCTGCCAACTGGAACAGCTCCTTGCCCTCCTCCCAATGACAGCCTTTCAAATATTTAAAGAGCACAATCATGTTGCCCCTCAATCTCCTCTTCTCCAAAGTAAGCATTCCCAAGGCCCTCAGCCTTTCCTCGTAGGGCTCAGTCTCCAGACCCCCGATCATCCTCGTCGCTCTCTTCCGCACCCTCTCGATTTTGTCCACATCCTTTTTGAACTGAGGCCTCCAGAACTGCACACATTACTCCAGGTGCGGCCTGGCGAAGGCAGTATAAAAAAGCTAAAAGCTAAATCTCTTTCAACCACTAGCCTCCCGGCTATCAAGCGCTTCAGTGCAGCATATCGGTCCTCGCAGAACCTCCAGGTAGTGGCTGGCAAACTCCCGCTATTACAATGGATGTGCAGGCGACAGAGATCAGTTCCCATGGAGAAAATGGGCACTTTGGAAGTTAGCCTCTATGGCAGGGGTGTCAAACATGCTGCCCGGGGGCCGGATCAGGCCCCCTGGAGGGCTTCTATCAGGCCCGCAGTGGAACTGGCTGTCTTCTGCTTCTTCTTCACCATTGTAGGTTCGCAGCTTACAGATAGACACCTGAACAGCATACTCAAGATTGCAACAGCACAGACATTTTGATGTAATAATTCAGAGCAAGAGGTGTCAGTGATCAGAGACTGTTAAATAAACAAAATATTGCAAGAGTGCTGATGTTTTAAGCATGTTTTTAAGTTAAAAAAACCCAATCCTTTGCGTCTGTGTCCTTTATGAAGTTTATATCTCCATTACCTGGCATTCCATTTTATGACACACCTGGCCCGGCCCAACAAGGTCTCATTTATGCCAGATCCGGCCTGCATAACAAATGAGTTCAACACCCCTGCTCTATGGCATTATACCTCATTGAAGTCCCTCCCCTCCCCAAACTACACCCTCCTCAGGCTCTACCACAAAATCTCCAGGTATTTCCCAGTCAGGAGCTGGGAATTCTACTTCAGGCAGCCACGGTTTGCCCTTGTTAGCAGCTCTGGTTCCCGATGGGATATTCTTAGGATTCTCCAGTGGAGCAAATAGTGCTTCCTCGGGGCTGTTTCAGGTTCCTGTCCCCGCACGCTATGGTCCCGATTTGAATTGGGCCGACACACACCTACAAATTGAGTTACCCAGGGTTGCTTTTGTAGAAAAAGCCCAGCAGGAACTCATTAGCATAATAGGCCACACCCAACAGCAGAAACTCGTTAGCATATTAGGCCACACCCCTGACAGTGCATCTCATTAGCATGCTAGGACACCCCCCCGTGGCTTCCGTTGGCTTGCCCGGGCAAGCTGGCCCTTGGAGAGGCTGGGGAAGGCATGGGGAGGCATTTAAATGCCTCCCCGATCCTTCCAGGGGCCCCCCTGGCCCGCCCACCTTAGAGTCGTAAGGGGTCGCTCTCCAGGCCTTCCCTCTGTAGCCAGGCACACAGAGGTTTTGGCTGTAGTGGGCGTGGCCAGCTCTGAAGCCAGCCGGAACTCCGTTCCTGTGCGTTCCTGCCCAAAAATAGCCCTGGTCCCACTAGGAAGCACGCAGCCACGCACGTGATGGAAAGTCCTTGCGGCAGATCCGGACACGACAATGAGGACTGCATGACACAGAGTTAGACCCTTAGAGAAGCTGCTCCCTCTAAGCTGTGGAGTCTTGTGAGCAATAATTCTACTCTGTGACCTACTGGCATTAAAGTTGCGAGGGAGCGATTTGGCTACTGCATACATTAGTTTGCCCTGGAGCCCTCCTTCCTGAGCTAGGACAAAAATGTGTGAGCTGGAGGCTAAAAAGCTGTGAGCTAGCTCACACTAACTCAGCTTAGAGGGAACACTGACCAGCAGCCGCGGCTTTAAATATTGTCATCATCTCACACCTATTTGCATGGCTAGCTACCAACACCGCTCAAAGTCGAGGGGAAGAGTTCTGCGCGTTAAAGGTTGTGTGGGAAGGTGGGCACGCAGGGGCGAGTGACAGCCGGCTCAGCCACTCCCTACGCATTCTGCGCGCGTTTTGCCAGTTCCTGATCAATGAGGACATTTTTAAAGCAAAACAAAGGCTCTGATGGGATTGCTCAAATATTCTCTCCCTTAAATAACACCTCTTTGGCTATTGAGATGGGAGTATGGAAACTGCAGATCACACTCTGGGTGAAGCTCCAGCGAAAGATAAGGAGCGTTTTCAGGAAAAGACGTCACTCTCTCTCTCTCCTCTAGGAATTCTCCGTTTTCGATACAAGGCAGCGTGGGGCTAATCTTTTCTAAGCCGTGCTTGCTAAAGGAGTGTGTGTGTGTGTATTTTCCATTCTGAAAGGAAAGGAAGGGAGGGAGAAAGATGAGATTGTATTTTATTTTTTTGTGTGTTTCTTTTTTGAAACGGCACATCTATTAATAGCCGTATGCAGGCACTGCAGTCCAGTTCTTTTATGGGCCCTTTTCGAATTGCAGGATACAAGCTGGGCTCGATCTGGGATCGGTCTCTTGCCCTGCCCTTGAAGCTCACTGGATGATCTCGGGCTGATCCCCTGCCTCTCTCCCTCCCTCCCTGCTGATCTTCCCTTACCGGGTTGTTGTTAGGATAAAAGGGAAGAAGAGCCACGCGATGTAGCCTCAGCTCCCCAGGGAAAGGGCAGGGTGAGAAGGGAAATTACATAAATCATTTCAGGAGGGCAGCCATATTGGGAAGGCAATGGCCAATCCCCTCTGCTTCTCGGTTGTTTTGAAAGCCCCTTGCTGGGGTGGCCACAAGTCTTGAATGGGAGACCACCAAGGAAGACTTTGCAGAGGAAGGCTGTGGCCAACCTCCTCTGCTTCTCGGTTGCCTTGAAAGCCCTTTGCTGGAGTCGCCATAAGTCTTGGATGGGAGACCACCAAGGAGGACTCTGCAGAGGAAGGCAATGGCCAACCCCCTCTGCTTCTCGGTTGCCATGGAAGCCCCTTGCTGGGGTCACCATAAGTCTTGGATGGGAGACCACCAAGGAAGACTTTGCAGAGGAAGGCTGTGGCCAACCTCCTCTGCTTCTCGGTTGCCATGGAAGCCCCTTGCTGGGGTGACCCGTGATACAGGACATTAGAGGGTTCATACTCCTTATGTGATCCTGGCAACAACCCTGTAAGGTAGGCTGGAATTCTTATCCCCCATGTGACAGATGGGACTGAGGCTGCCAGAGCTCACAGAAGAGGTGACATTCGAACCAGGCTCTTCCTGACCTCCTTCTCCTAGCCCCTGTACTGTAGCAGCTCTTTGGCTAACAGTCTGTTTGTTTTTCTCTCTCTCTCTCCAGTTGCGGAATGCCAGGATCAAGTTTGAACATGACGGAGAGAAAAGGTACAACCCTGGAGTCCTGAAGTAGCTGTCTTGGCAGGGCTTTGTTGACTCCTAA